GTTATTAGATTGGTAGGTCTTTTTTGTTATACATTGTGTTTAAATATTAAAAAAATATCTAGAATTACCTTATTCTATTCGAAAATGATATTATTACAAGCTCGTAGTTTCGACCTTCAATAGCATGGTCAGCAGAAGTGGAAAAATAAAGATAAAATTCTATATTAAGTTCTCAAATTTAGTTTAGATTTTTCATTAAGTTTTAAATTTTTATTAGAATAAGTAAATTTTAAACTTAGTACTCTGAAATAATTCAATTATTTTTTTTATAATAGATTTAATGTCATTTATAGTTTATTTACATTGACAAAGTAGTGATATATCATCGACCACCCGTAAGTATTGATTTTACCTACACAAAGTATAAATGCGTGTAAAAAGGATTAAATTATTTAAATCATTAAATTTAAGGACTTATTGTTTCAATAAAATTTTATAAGCTTTCTCATGAATTTAAGATAAGTTTAGGGACTGTATGTAAGGTTTTGCCAAAAATAAACAAGTAGAACGGAAGATAAAAGGGAGAAAATGTACCCGATGGTTTGGTGGACTGAGATTTTAGGTATGCTTCGGATAAATTAAAGAAGGATAAATATCAATTTTAGCCTCTTAATTTTAAATTTTACGTAATTTTCATATTTTAAATTTTTTATGCATTTTTTTGGTCCCTTGAAGATAAAAATGTTTTTTTTTTTTTGTTTTTCTATCAGTTAGCTTATTAAATTTATCTAAATATACACATTTTAAAGTTGAGGGATAAAAAATATGTATATATTAAAAATTGAGAATTAAAAATGTGTAAATTCAGATATATTTAACGGATTAACTGAAAAAAAGATAAAAAAATATTTTTCATAATTAACCAAAAAAAAGTGCACAAAAAAATTGAAGGATGAAAATTGTACAAAATATTAAAGTTGATGGACCAAAATTAACATTTAACAATTAAAAAATTTCAATTAACAAAATAAAATGAGTTTTTATCCTCCCGTCTCTATTAAATTTTTTTGATAACTAAGACTTGGTTTTATAGTGTAGTTTTTTAATTTTTTAATATCTCAAAATATATAAAATATA